TAAATTGAACCTGATGTCGTGGACGTGGTCTTGAAATCTAGTTTTAAAATCCCTACCGGTTTGGCCAATGTAGACCTGCTCGCAGCTTCCGCATTTAAACTATTATTGTATTTGTTACCTAGTTTTCTTGAACTGTATTTGAATTTTATGGTGTTGTTAACTTTGTATGCTACTTTTACATCTGTTTTTGAATATCTTAGTGAGTGTTCTAATGCTAATATTAAAAAATGTAAAGCTCGGCCATAATTTTTTAGTGGGTTGGGGTACATTGACATTGGGATTAGGTGCATTTATCTTGTGATATTATTAAAGTTGTAAAGTTGAACCATTTGACTAAATGTATTAACTTCCCTGATGCCACTGATGATCATCTCTTGAGGTCGAAACGCGTATGGCAATAGCGTCTTATTACAGTGTTAATAGTTGTTGGTTTACTTACTCTATGCACACAGTAATGTATAAATTTATAATAAAGAGTAGCATGTTTTGGCCATCTTCTTGCTCTTCTCAAATGCATTATTCTGAAACACATGACTGTCATCAACTGAGAGTTAGGTTAATATACAGTGATGAACAACTCAGTGATGCAGTTAAGGTTAACTGTACAGTTAAAACTGTAAGTAAGATTAGCCTGTGGGTTTGATCTGACCTACAGTTCTTAATTTGTGATGTGTTTAATTTGCTACTAAAGTGCCAATGAGGAGGCTACAAACTGAACGTAAGACATAAGAAGCATGTCATATATTTTACTAACAAGGGAATGGTCAGGTTGGTCATGCCGAAACCACACCTGAAATTTTGCTCATCTACGGAGCCCATCTTGTAATGATTGTACACAAAATTTCAGTTGCTCATGCGCTGTGCTCAAAGTTGATATGTTTATTTAAAATCCGCGCCACCGCGCATGCGCGTGACAGCAGCGTGGCATTCACCAGTACATTGCAGCGGAGGGCGTAGGCCAGGTGCTGGTGGGATGGCAGAGAAAGATCTGAGAAATGTCTCTCTCTCTCTCTCTCTCTCTCCAAGTTCTTGTTATTATTAGTTAGAAATGTGTCAGTAGCTCATGAATTGGCCAATAATCACTATTTATGCTTAAAATTTGTCTTCTCAATCTACTACTTTACAAAAATGGAAAGAGAGGAGCTATCCTAGCATTGCATAAGTACAATGTATGAGAAAGAAATGAAATCAGGATGAAAAGCCATGAACTCACATCAAGAAATACATAAATGTTACCATACTTTCTAAGTTCCACATTTGTTTCAAAACACTGAAAATACCTGCAGTTCCTTGTTACGTTCCTCTTTCTAGAGGCGATCTTCATCAGGACGTTCCGGAGGAATATCTTCACTCTGCTGTGACTCTGCTAGTATGTGAGGCAGCACTGATCGCCTGATCCGTCCTTTCAATCCGCTCAGCCTGAGGATTTAAAACACTTGTTATCTATGCTGGCTGAAATTCAGGTTATCTGCAGTACAAGCAAATGAAAACTGAACATTACATACGTGTGATTCCTGTGCTTGTAATCGCAAAGTATTTAAGCTTTCCGCCAGCTCCATATATTTCTTTGACATCTCTAGAGTTTCCGTAAGATGACTGCTCATGGCTTCACGATTCTTTTCTTTTAATTTGATGTTTTCTATTTCTGCCGTCTTAAGACGGCGAGTGAGATTAGTGATTTTAGCTTCTGCAGCAGTCAACTTTTTACGAAGATCCTGGATTTCTCGTTTCAAATCATCAGTTTCCTCGTCTTGAGGATCTTCATATGGAACTGGTTTCATTTCAATTCTTTTTGTTGATTTAGCCCATACTAATGTCCGTACACTCTCCTTCATATACCTGTGTAATGGGCTCACACAAGCAATCATGAAGGTTACTGAATTCCCACTTAGAGAATCTGAAAAAGTTCAACATACGAGTGGTGTTTCTTGTGCAATACACAAATAAAATTTCTTACTGCACTAGACAGGGCACATTTACTGTTCGCCTCATCATATGGAAACTGGTTATAAATGAAACTAATTTCCTTGCTATACCCGCTCTTGCCCCCAAGTGGCCTAGATGGTATGTTGGCGGACTGCTTTATTTGTATTGCAAATAAAACGTGTCTACACCACAGCAAATATCAGCTGGTTGATGCTGTTTGAGGAAATGATCACTGTTCATACTGAGAACCATACGAAACCCATAAATGCAAAATGTGGTGTTACTGACTGTAAAAACCGACGGTACATATAGTTACCATTCAGCTTTAAGGGGTTAAAGCTCATGTGGAAGACATCAGTAAGTGTTACATCATTCAGTGATGAAATCGTACATTCTAAAATTACCCATCGTTTGATGTCTTCATTACCAGAATTCAAAGTGCATTAGCGCAAAATGCAAGATTTTCCCAAACTTCAAGACAGGCCATCAGAATTTGTTGAAACTTTAAGCAAAAACAACTGTGCTGTCTCAAACAAGATGTTGCCATGACATTTAATACTGGAATAACAGTTAGCATACAAAGTGGTATTCAGAATCCTGGATTTTAATTCTTTATAGAAAACATACTTCCATTTAGGTTCATAAGCTGCTTACTTTGTAGCAATCTTGTAAGTTGGCTGTCACGGTAACTGGCGACCCCTTTGCTGTCCGGTTTAGCCAAATCAGAAATTACTTTTTGTAGATGAAGAAGATCAATGTTAATTTGTATACCTTCTTCTCTTATTTGATCAGATACTTCAGTATGTGCAAAAGCTTCAGACCCTGCTAGATCCACTAGATGGAACTTTGCAGGCTGAGATGGTTTTCTGCAAACAGAATAAATATTATATTGCTGTCAGTACCAAATAAATAATCTTGGGATCAGACAGAGATATCATGTGGCATGAATTGGACACACAACAACCAAGTCTAAATGTAAAGCAAACCAAAACATGGGACTGGCGGATAACGAAGTGAAAAAGTTTGGCTATGAAGTATCCTCATATAATCAGAAGCCAACGACCTACAAACTTTCTCTGCCAAAATTTCCCTTTCAATAACATTTCATATTTCTGAACAATAAATCCACTATCCAGCGCAAGGCTTCTAATCAGATGCTATGACATCACAAACAGAAACACTCGGAGAGAAAATGTAGTTTTGTGTAGAAAATTAAAATCAATAATTAGACTGCCTCTTGTTCCCTATATCCTGAGTAAATGCAATTTTCATAGTTCTCTGCTTCCACATACAAAATGCACTTCCTACTTTGTGTTACTCCTCTCCTGTGACAGACACTGGGTTTGCTTTTAAAAGAATACACATATTTTATACATGCGCGCACACAGGTAAAATGAAAGAGTGGGGGGTGAAAGCTCTGCAAGTACAAGCAAAAGAAAAATGACCCGAAGAATAACTCTCACTGAGATACGTTATCCAAGACAGTGAACGTGTGAGCAAAATGGGGACCATCGGTAGATAACGATACAAAGTGGGATGAAAGGACTATTTAGAGGCATTTCATTCACAAGAAAACAATTTAGTAGAAATTAAAGCAGATGAAGAAATATGTCTCACACATTTCATACATACTACTCACTCATTTCCTCGTGGCAGCTTTTGAACAGTAACTGTGAAAATAGCATGACTGCGACTAGACTGTGCATTCATGGCAGTTGCTCTGCGGGAAAAACCCTGTGAAAGTAATACGAGGCTCTGTACGATTTTGTGTTTTTCATGGCGATGAAGAGGATAATCTTAATCTTCTAGGGTTTTGGCACCATGTAGTCTTGTTGATCGATGGTAACGTCTCGAAGAAACACAGTCACCACATTCAGCCCTTAAGATGGAGATGAGCTCTTTCTCCTATAACCGTCCACCTTCTTCGGTTCTTGCTCCAGCTAGCTAGGGACTGACTGACTGTGTAAAAGATCTTGGTGACTTGTTGGACACTAAGCTATACTTTCATTGCCATGTAAATTTTGTTCATACACAGACACTAAGGACCTTAGGGCTTATTCGTTTTATTACTTATAATTTTTCTTCTTTAAATAGTCTTGTTGTTTTATATAATGCTTTA